CGGCGACTGATCTGCCTCGCCCGGGAAAAGCGCAATGATGGTGCCAACATGGGCCAGTGAAGCAACGTCCTCCACAACTAGACTGAAGAACAAAAGGACAGCAACTTGTCTATTCCCCTTCCCCCAATTCCCCAGCGCTGTTCCCATCCCCCCAATTCCCCAATAAAAATCTTTAAAAAAAAGAAAGTAAAACGATAATCCAAGAATAGGAGAAAATATCTGCAAATCATATATCTAATAAGGCACTCATATCTAGAATATATAAAAAACTCTCACAACTCAACGAAAACAAATTAAGTTATTTCTCTTTTTAAAAAGTCTCCTATTAAAATAATCATTTGAACACATGTGTCAACTTTTACTCTGAAAACCTCAATAAAATTACAATAAAGTAATTTTCTCAAAAAAAAAAAGAGAGAGAGAGAGAAAGAGAGACATAAACCCACAAGAAGAGAAAGAATGATAGAACAGACAATAACAAACTTTGGGGAGGTGAAAAACAGGTGGAAGAATAACTTAACAGACACAGAATGCCAAATCCTAAACTGAGAACTGAACTAATGTACACTGTTGCTGCCTTCAAACTCCTTCTATCTGTGCAAATCCTCCATCCCCCAAGGGCCTCCTCTGTTCAGACATTATCAATTCTAGCCCATCCTCCATTCACTCTAAAATCCTACCTCTGTGATCCAAATAATAAAAACAGTAATACTAATAATAATAAACAACCACCTATGAATCACTTATGAAATGCCCGAGGATAATTCTGGGTCTTTATAGAATGAATAGACTTTAGCATTTGGTGGTTATCAAATTGTTTCCTATTATTCAATCTTATTTCTCCAATTTGGGTGTAAATTTCTTAAGAGGAGAATATTTCTTTTATCCAGCTCTAAAATTTTTTGCAGCACCAGACTCCAGGTAGGTAATCAATAAGTACCTAAATTGGCTCAGTTCATAGACTACACACTTACTGATCTTCATTAGTGCCAATTAGGCAATGTCCAATTGGCAATCAAAATTAAAGGAGCATGCCTCTGTTGCCATTTTAGGTCTTGGCACCAAAAAATTTGCCAGTTGTCCTGAAGGATGGCAGGTGGCATCTCAGAGACCTATCTATCCATTTACTGCAGGGTGACCTGCCTGGTGTAGTATTTAGCAATCAGACTTCTAAATAGCAATAAACCCCATGCTGAGGAGGCAACAGAAGAAAGAAAGAAAAAAGATGCCTTTTATGGCACTTCATGATAATGACTTTATTGCCAACAGCCATATTAGCAGAAGATGGAAGATTCAATTTATAGAATCTCCTGAATGTCTGTCTGTTCAACAACAGCCTGTTTATGCCCAAGAAGAGATTGGTGCCTGTGGAAAATGTGTCTGAAGGACAACCCACAATGCTACTTGCTCTGCTAAGGAAAAGAATTCACATTCTTTTACTCTTCAAGCCAAAAGGGGGCCAAAGTAACCAAATGAATTAGTGCATCCTGCTCTAAACGTCAAAATCAAATTGGAACACTGAGCATTAGAACCGCCCCACTCACTGTGATGATCTAAAAGTCACTTAAGACAATTCAGAGAAACGCCAGAAAGACTTCCTTCTTTTTGAGACAACAAAAGCAGATGGAAAACTGCTAAAATGGCTCAAGTATGTGGTACTTTTATAACATTTATGTGGTTCTTAAAAAAATCAGCTTTAATTGACTTTTTGCTTCCCATGTCCTAGTTCTGTCAAAACCTCTTCGGCTTTTTAGGGACTTCAGAGAACAAACCATTCCGAATGTACTTTACCTTTAGTTACCATGATTCAGAAATGATGTATTTCTCTGGTCCTTGCCAAAAAAGCAAGGGAGGAAAAATTAGAAATAAAACCTATTTCTAAGATGGCATCGAAAACAAAACAAAGAGAGAAATTACACAGGCAATAAATTTTGTTAAGTGGCCTAGCAGAGCCTCCAGCTCCCTGTGTGACCTGGAAAATTCCATTAGACCCCTCCGTTTCATATTATCTCCATCTGAAGAATAAGGAAGTTAATATACTTGGACCTCAAATGCCAAATCAGAGTTGAAGGAGACTTATGCTTTATTTGCCTGCCTTGGATTATATATGAGGTAACTTGAAAGGCATGTTGTGACAATAAATGCGACAATGGCAGTTGCTCGTTCTTAGAAGGTGGAAGTAATGGGCTGAAAAAACAAAGAAACAAAAAAATCTTTCACCTTCATTATGGACAACTTTGACCTTGGCTTAACCTTCTAGCTCTGTTCCCCCTGGAAACCTGATCAGTGTGGGATGTAGGCTTGTTCCCAGGCTGTCTTTGGTGGGGGGGATGGAGGCAAAAAGTCTAGCTCCCTGGAGTCAGTCAATAGTGCCGTGTGGTTGGTGTGGGTCTTGGAGTCTAAAAGTCTGGCTAGACCAAAGAAAACCCCCAAGATTGGGGGGGAGAGTTAATAAAATAGAATCACTATGTAAATTTTTTAAGTATGGGTATATTTTAGTCACTTTATCACTACTTTCTTTTCTCTTTTTTTAACCTTTTTATTATAAATATTATTATTTTAAAATGAAAGGAAAAAACCTTATAACCACCACCACTGTCAGCAAACCCAGAAATCCCTCCATGTGTCTTATCTCAGTGTCCATCCCCTCCTGCATCCCCCAAAGCAAGCAATATCCTGGCTTTTTCCAGTAATTATTTCTTTGCTTTGTGAGTTTGTGTGTGATTTTATCACCAAGTGCGCACCCCTAGTGTGGACCTTGCCTTGCCCTTTTTTTTTTCAGCTGAGCCATTCTGCCACCTGTTGGCAGCTCAGTTGGGGCCGGAAATCAAACTGGCGACCCTGTTGCTCAGAGCTGCACTCTTGAGCGAGCTCTTAACCAACTGAGCCACTCGGCCAGCCCTGCTTTGCCCTTTTAAAAAATTTAATATGTCTTTTAGGTCTCAATGTTACAAGTCGCTCTCCATCCCTTTCTTTTCATTACAATTTATCTGTCGAAAACCTGGGGCATTTGACCTGTAGAGTTCTCACAGCCTGGTTTTGCTGATTGATACTCTTGGTGTAATTCAACATGTTCTTCTGTATTTCTTGCAAATTGTTAGCTAGATCTAGAGGCTGAATGAGACTTGGGTTCAATCCCTTTTGTAACATCATGTCGGTGTCGAGGCCTTTCATTAGGAGACAAAGTCTGATGAGCTCTCTTTCTGTGCTGTGAGCAGCTGTCAATGCACGTTGCCTAAACCCATTAAAATGGTGATATTCTAAGTGTTATTTCTTTTTCATTTATTAGTTGGAATATTTTTATAAAGAAATGCATTCCCTCTTCTACAGTTTGGTTACCATTGGCCCAGGTCACCTAGAAAAAGCAGGATAAATGCTTGAATCTTTCCCTTTATTTACCAATTTCAAGATAATAAATAGGATCCCTATCTTCTTCTGAAGATGACCAATTGGGTTTTTATTTTAAAAATCATTATACACTCATGGATTTAAACATATTTTGATAAGTTTTGATCCATTACAAATATTTCATTTATTGTAGCCCAAATGGGCCCAAATTTAGCCAATAGAAGCCTTTTCAGATTAGCTCCTGAGTCCTTTTGATATGAACTTATAGTCTCTGCTAGGTCCCTCACTATTTGGTTATGACAAGATGTTTTAGTTCATCTTGTACATTTTCTGCCCCATACTTGACATCAGCCATTTCTCCAAGAGCTCTGGTTTCTTTTGGTGGGAAATGATATTGTAAGGCTACAATCTGGGCACTGGAGATACACATGCTGGGTCTTCTCATTAGTCAGAACTAGAAATATACATACACACACATACATACACATATATAATATTTTTTAAAGATAAAATAGCCCATGAGTTCATAATGATAACTCATCATTTAACCTCAAGACTACTATGTTTTAACATAATCTCTTCTGTATTACATTTATGTCTCCTTATTCCTATACTGGGCACCCTACTTGATTCTCTAAAACATGAGATAATTAGAATATCACATAATTATTCATTTATCTTATCCCACATTAATACACACAATGGTTTCAGATTAACACCAATATTACTATCACTAATCTAATTACTGGGAATAGTTTCTTTAAAAACCTTGCATATGCTCTCTCCTTTTCCCATTTTTAATAGTTGTACTGTATTGACAGTGTCACGGCACACAGTCATTGCATACTATACTCTCTTCCTAATGCCCTCATCTAGTCTAAGATCTATAAATAATCATATGTTTAGTGGTCACCAGAAGTCTTTATATTGGTGTCTTTCTAGTCATTTTGGTTGTCTAGAGCTCTTTAGTAGACTCCTACGAAAGGCTCAGGAAAATATGATTTTCTGAGTTCTTGCAAATTGATATTAATATTAATAATAGTAATCTTTATATTAATACTTGAGAGTCAGTTTTCCTGGATATAAAAGCTTTGGCTCCCATTTTCTTTCCTTGAGTATCTCAAACATATTAATCCATTTAACTGACTTTTCCTTATAAGTCACTTGCTTTTCTTTCTTAGATAGCCAAAGAAATTTTCTTTTAAGCTCAGTTATTTTACCAGAATACGTCTCGGTGTTGGTCATTCTGGAATAATATCCATCCTGGATCAGTATTCCCAGGTTCATGGTGATCTCTTTCAATACGCAGTTTCAAATACTTTTTAATTTCAGGAAACTCTTCTGAAATTATAGCTTTCGTGTTTGTTCTCTTCCCTTGCCTGAGTCCTCTTATTCAGGGACTCTTTATTATTTATATGTTGGATCATCTTTGCCTACCTTCAAAATTTGCCAGTTTCTCTAGAATATATTTATCTCTTCCCTCATTTATATTTTATTTTTAACATTTTCCTCCTTTTAACTATTTTAAGATATTTTCTGTCATTTTATTTGTGCTTGTATTCCTTCTAGTTTAGTCTTCATTTCTAAAGTGATATTTTTCTTTTATTTTTAAAAGAATTCTGTCACCTTTTATGTTTTTCCAATTTTTTTTAACTATTACAAAAGTTTATTTAACAAAAAAGTTCAACACGAAAATGTACAAGTCCTAATTTTTATATTGTAGTAGAATAGCAGCTGTGGCGTGGGGACATGTGGAAGCAATTTCTCTGGTGAACAAAGCCATTCTTTATACTCGTTCCAAGGCTTCTACCATGATGATACTATTTCCTCGAATTACCACCATTCCAATATTGTTCTGTTGCCCACTTGTTGCCATCTCCACACATTCATCTATCAAAAGATTCATAAAGGGATCAAACCCCCACAATATTCCTTGGACATGTCTGCCACCATTTAATTTCAATGACAACTTCTTGTCCATAGATTTTTTCAACTCGGGAGGGTGAGCTTTGCTCATGGTGCCTACTTAGCGAGCTCAAGGAAGCCTCCAAACGGAATTCCATGTTTTTCCAATTTTGATTTATGTTTATGCTTTCATGCCTTGTGAAATTTTCTTAATGTTTTTATCTTATTTTGATAATGTTAGGTTATGCTTTGGATTTATTTCATGGTGGTGTCTACGTGTGCTTTTATTGTCTGAAGATATGTTATTCTGCTATTTAATCTCCCTTTAAAAATAATAACTTGGTATGGTATTTGACCTTAATTGCTTACTTATTTTTATGTGAAATTCGTTTTCTTGAAATTTTAGAAGGGGCGATGGTTCAGGATAGCTTTCATCCATGGCTTTTGGTGTCACCAGCTAGTGCTTTATTTATTTATTTTTTCTTAAGATTTTATTAGGGAGTTGGGGGGAGGGGAACAGCATTGGGGAATCGGGGAAGGGGAACAGACAGGTAGACAAATTGCTGTTTTTGTTCTTCAGTCTAGTTGTGGCAGACGTCGCTTCACTGGCTCATGTTGGTATGATCACTGTTCTCTTCCTGGGTGAGATAATCAGTCACCGGTCATTGGTCTGCCGCTCACAGCAGCTCTCGGCTGCTCACGCTGGCTGCCAGCCACTCACGGTAGCTCACGGTAGCTCATGGCAGCCCACGGCAGCCCATGGCAGCCCTGCTGCAGCCTACACTGTCGACGGCGACTCATAGCAGCCCAGCTCCAGGTTGAGCTGTTGTTCATCATCTTAGCTGTAGAGGGCGAGCGTCACTGGCCCTCAATGTGGGATTCGAACCGCAGCCCTGCTGCTCAGAGCTGGCTCTCCCAAGCAAGCTCTTAACCAGCTGAGCCACTCGGCCGGCCCACTAGTGGTTTATTTTTTATGTGTAAATTTGGAGAGATCCAAAACTTCTGCCACCACCACTGCCACCATCTTCTCAGAATCCCTTATTATGTTTAATTTAATATGATCATTCAAATAGCTAATATGAACACCAGATACCAACATGGGTCCACTTGATATACTTAGAGTATCAATACAAGTTGAGGTGAACCTAAAATCCCCAAGTATTATTAAAATAGGTACCCCAAAATTGCCCTGCCAATTTTTATCAAAAACCCAGTGTGTGCTTTTTCATGTATATTTGTTTTAGTACTTCTATTAGAGGCTCACATTTATTTTTCTTATATGCCTTAACTCCACTGCCTGTATAAAAAGGGTAATTCTTTTCAATATTAAAAATATATAATTTTTATTCCCTTGTAATCATATCCACCAAACAAACAAAGTCAAGATTCGGTGTACTGGGCAAGAAATCGGTGGCCTAGCCGGAATACAGATGGGTCCCTATTCAGCTTTCCATCTCAAAATGGACTTTTTGGAGGCCACAGAAAGACCAACACCCTGAAGGCTGAGCTTTCTTGAGCTCCAGCTCCAAAGTTCCTCTGTTAACATCCATATTCCAAGCTGGGAAGACGACCTAGGGATGACCATTTTCTATGGCAGAGAAGACTCAGGCTATGATTCTTCTTCAAGGGAAATTCCCAATGAATAAAAAAGGACAGGCCTTCTATGATGAAGAGGCACCGAGGATGTGAGAGGTCAGAAGGGACCCCACTGGATCTGGGTTCCCAAAAGAGCAGAGCCTGCCGCATGGGTTCACTGGTGATCACAGGTGGCAGATAATGCAGGTACACAGGAAGGAGGAGGGAAACAGGGACAGCCAATTCGGGTGCATTCTTAAGTTGGCTACCACCTTTGCTATGGGTGACCCAATTCCATGGCACCATCCCAGAAGCTTGACCAAAGGTGTGTTCCTCCCGGAAGAAAGTAGCACTGTTTCCCCAGCAGCTGCCATCCCCCATGAGTTACGGATTTCCCTGGGGATATTATCTTCCTACACGTGCAGGCATGTACCCATGGGCATCCCACTCCCGGCACCAGAGGCTGCAGGGCAAGCACCCAGAGCTGCAGGGAGGGGCTAACAGGTCTCCCCTGTGCAGAACTAGAGGCCGCTGCAATGGCATCTACAAGAGGTGAGTGCAGTCAGTGCCCAATACAGGACCCAAGGAAGCGCTCGCCATGGCTAAAGTACAAAATTAATCAGGTGTTCTACCTTGCATTACAAGGTGATTAGTCACTTTCTGTAAGAAGAGGAGGTGTCTACAGGGTCTGACATCAGATTTGTATTCATTTCCCATGCGGTAGAGGACATGTACACCGCTAATGTAGACGGAAAAGAATACCTTATGATTCATCTCTACAGAGAGCGAAACTGCCCCGGCTTCTCCCAGATCATGTGAGATCTGCACACCCCCACTGGAGTTTCCCCGACCTTCAGAGCACTTAGGGAGCTCTGCTACAGATGAACACAGACCAGGTTCAGGGGCTCCTTGACCTTGCCAAGCAGATGAAGAAGGATTCTTCCTGTTAGATGGTGTCAACCTTATGAACCAGGGAGGCCCAGGAGCAGCTGCCAAGCTTCCCATATCATTCAAGTACATAAAACGCCAGCAGACTGTCCTCCTCTGACAAACAGCCAGCCTCCCCCAAGATGAGTCCAGGAGCCACTTTTTTCGGTATCCTTGAATCAACCACGTCATATATGAATCTCTGTAGCTTAATGTTAGTTTTTAATACCCTTTCCCCCTTTAATATCCGCTTCAACCTGGAAGAACGTTCTTACACTACTGTTGACCTGTCTTGACACTTCCTGGAATATGATGAAAGTATGTGTCTCTCTATCTCTAAGTCATTAAGGTCAGCGGCCATGCCTTAGTGATTTTGGTACCCCCAGGACATAGCACACAGAATCACTCGATAAATTCTAGTTAAACTGAAATGTGTTTGCGTTTTATTCTTCTTAGTTTTAGAAACATCTGAAGTGTGGCTATCTTTTGGTCGCTGCATATTTCAGGTGTTAATTTCACCCTCAAGGACAGGCTTCCTTTCACAGTCGGGGGTCCTCAGCTGGCTTCATCCTTGCACAAAATCATCACAGAGTTGGGGTTCAGGCAGCTTCAAGTCAGGCTCTGCATGTCAAATGCCAAGAGCCAGCATCTATCAGATGTTTACTGGGTGCCAGACACCACTCTGTGTCCTTTATATGTTTTAACTCATTTCCTGTCCCTATCAACCCTGTAAGGTAGGTCCTATTGTATTATTATCTCCCTTGTATAGGTGAGAAAACTGAGCAAGTGCAACAATGTACTCAAGATCCCACAGCTAGAAAGTGTGACTTTACCTCAAGCATATAAAGTGTTTTTTTGGCCATTTCTGCTCTGAGGGCTGAATGACATATCTGCCAAAGCACTCTGTGATTCTCTTTGATGCTGTCTTGGTTCCTTCCTAAACTTTCTATGGTTTCTCACACTCCCCCTTCCACAATATACCCTGTGTCCTTTCTGAGAAATTAGAGCCATAAAACAATAACTATGTTTCTTGCTAACTTGATCATGTGTCTGTCCTATTGCCCCTCCCGGGATGGTTCCCCCCAGGTGGGTGGACATGCTGAGCTTTTCCTGGGTGCTAATGGCTGCTCCTAGCACTTACTGTATACAGAGCATGGTGCAAGACACTCCGTGCTCTGGGGGCTTGAAAAAAGCCCTAAACCCATGAATGCACGAATACCACAAGACCCGCAAATGAGACATGTAAACAGCACACCAGCAGAGTTCAGAGAAGGAACTCTGAGTTGAGTGGGAAGGCTTTCTAGATCACATTTAAACAGATGGAAAAGAGAGGAGACAGCATCTCAGGCTGGGAGACCAACTTTGGAAAAGACGCAGGAGTGGGAACACAACTGTTGCTGTTGTTCCGATTCTAGGCTTGCTGGATTCCTTTTGAGGGGAAAAAATTGCTGGCAGAGGCTGCCACTGGCACTTGGAAAAATACTCAGCCATAGTTTAGATGAGACCTTGACAAACTCTGGCTGTTTTGTGAATGTAGTTTTCTTAGCAGCCATCATTTACCGTCCTCATGGCTGCTTTCCCACGACCACAGCATAGCTGAGTGGTGTGAGAGACCAGATGGCCCACAGAGCCTACAATATTTACTGCCTGGCCCTTTAAAGAAAAGTTTGCCGACCCCTGGTCTAAAATATCAACTCTCCAAAAGAAAAGCTAATAAAGCCAACTGATTGGGACTATGGGTATACTATACTAAAAAGCATTTATCTAAACCTTAAAAGAAATTCAAAATACCCAAGTGAATCATATCCTCGAAAAAGGTATCAAAGAAGATAATCTGAAAAAACCTGATATTACAGATTCAAATGTAACCACTTCCCTCAAGTTTCAAAAGATCCAAGAGCACATTCTCTTCTGCACAAATTTTATAGTTATGGGACTGACACTCCCCAAAGGTTTGGGATTTCAATCACCAAATTCTCTCACTCAATAAATATAAAATAGCAACTAATATAAAAATATTTAAAGGTCATCTGAATGCTATTTGTCAAGCATATTTTAAATAAAGGGAAACATGCATAATCCATCGATGTGAAATAACTTTAAATAAAAATTTGGTTAAAAAATATGTTTTATAGGGATAAAAATAACAGAATTAAAATGCACTAAAGCCAAGGTCATTTTACCAAAAACGTCGCTAAGCAAGACAAGTCCCTATCTCACAAAATGATGATTAAAGGAGAATGTGGGTGTCTATGCATGCTTAGGTATTTATAGGACTAGAGGGAAAGGCATGCCAGACACAGAGATGAAAGGCATGGTAGAAACAGCCCTGCCTTAGAAGACACAGGCCTTAGTCAAAACTCTGCCAGGAACAACTCATGTGTCCGAGCGCAGGGCACGTAACCACCCTGAGGCTCAGCTTCTCTGGTGAAGGACTCCTGCTAGAGGATCTCTGAGGGCTTTTCCATTTGGAGATTCATGAAAATTAACGGAATATTAGAATATATTTGAGAACAAGGAAAAACTGATTACTTTAATGAACAAAAACAAAGGAAATCCTTTTACAACCTTCTAGGTGTTTTTTGTTGTTGTTGTTGTTTTTTATTTAAATAGACTTTCTATATTTAAAGTAATAAAAGGACTTCAT